CCCCAAAACCCCAAAACCCCAAAACCCCAAAACCCCGTAATGAGCCGAGTACTAGTAAAAGTAATATTATGAGTTTTAAATCTAATTTTAGACAATTTATGAAATCTTCATAAAATTTAATCGAAAATTTAGAAGCACGGACTCAATCTACCTATCATTCGGCTCAAAGAAATGGATCAGGGAAGGTTTATTAAGGAAAAATTTGGAGAAATTTTAAGGTTTTGGCGGGTTTTAAATGCAGTTTATTCATCTTCCTTGTTTTCCTCGTCGATCTTTTCGAAACTTTTGGAAGCGGTAAGGATCGAGATGACAATATCAGAATTAAAATAATCGTCCTCAACCGTGGGCCTCAAATTTGGGTCCTCATTGAGTCAACTTCAAAGGAAAGTTCTAAGCCTTCTTGGTAGTGGATGATAAGACTCTACATGTCCCTTAAATATTATCTTTTCTTGGGAGATTTCTCCAGAGTTGGTAAGATCACATGTAGTAACAATTCCACCTCAGAGGAGATATCCAATGATGCCAATGCCCCAAATGTCAATAGCTGGGGTATATCCAGCTGTCGAGTACACTTCTGGTGCAGCATACTGAGGAGTGCTAATCTGGGTATAGAACACCTCACTCATGATTGTACCCTTAGCAGAGTCTTTGATTTTTTTACTAATGTTAAAATCTAGGAGACGCAGGGTATTATCTTTAGTCACTATTATATTCTGTGGTTTAAGATCCCTATGACAGATATTGTTTCAGTGCAAATATTTTATAATCGCACAAAGCTGGTTGATAAAAGCTTCAATGGTTTCAACTGGTATCTTATCTGAATTTTTAATGTAGGAATCCAGGCTTTCGCCTGGGATTTTCTCCATGATTAGGTAAGCCTTGTTCCAAACTTTGTCCAATTTGAAATCAAATATTTGGGGGAAGAAAGGACAGGTGAGAGATTCCATCAAGGATTTTTCCTTTTGGAGTAGAGCAACTCCTGAGCTACCACTAGAAATTTTGATAGCAACTTTAGAGCCGTCGCTAATCCTGGTAGCACTTTTCACCTGTGAATACGTTCCAAATCCAAGCTGGCTGTGGATCTCATATTCTGTGCTGATATCGTAAGCATCTTCCGGCTTGACCAGTAAATCAGTAAGTGGTACAGAGAGTTGTTTCTTGAGCATCATCCTCTTCTTTCTCATAGGACTCGGGGCTTTTGTGGTCAAAGAGAGCATGTCTTCAGACGACCTTGCAATACACTGGCTATATTTCTTCCTTAACTGGGTCTTGGGTAATTCATTCATATTGAATCGTAGAAATTAATGATAATAAGTTCAATACCACCTCTGCTTTTTGGGGTTTTGGGGTTTTGGGGTTTTGGGGTTTTGGGG